TCCTTATCAAGTGCTTATTTTTATTTGAGGTTACTTCACAACCTCTCAGCATCATCAGCTGTAGTTTTGTTTTTGACTCACTCTAGTTGGCATATTGTTTGCATTTCTCTTTTATCTGTCCTTTTAAAGCTCTGTGTTTGCACTTAGGCTGATATTGCGTGCATGAAGATTATGATAAACGATAATTTTGACCCATACAATGTATCGTTGGCTATTGCCACAAATGTACCATGCGACTTATGACCGGTTTTGTGGTCCAGGGTCACATTTATGTGCTTAATAAAAATACCCAGCAATTTTACTTTTACTTATACTATACTTTGGTTAATAAGAAGTTAGACTGATTACCGTATGTTTGTTTGGGCAATACCCGCTTTTGAATCTGATACCCCTCTTTTTCTTTTGCTTGATGTGTAAATAAAAATGTCTTTACTTTCATGAAATTTAATGTGGTTATTTGGGTTGTTTTGAAACAATTCTGGGTCTGGAGACGGGGTAGCTTCATGCTGTTGTACACTCATTTCACCACCATCCATTTTTGCTGTTACTGGCAGTATTCCATTTTGTTGTGTGCAACCTCTATTTATTTATTTTTACTTCAATGTGTAATATGTTTAAAAAAAAAACTTGATTCTTTATCAAGTGTTTTTTTTATTTGTAAGAGGTTACTTCACAACCTCTCACCACTTTTTGAGGAACATAATGAACATCATCAGCTGTAGTTTTGTTGTTCACTCACTACAGTTTGCATTTCTCTTTCATCTGTCCTTTTAAAGCTCTGTGTTTGCCCTTAGGCTAAGATTGTGCACAGTAAAACCTCCAGTGTTGAAATCCTGCACCAGCACCTCCCCCAAATGCCACTTCCTGCTTAACAAGTTTCGATTCTTACAGAGCAGAGTATGCATAATATCAATAAACCTGTAACGCTGTGATGTACGCAGGAACAGGCTGAAGACTCAGAAGATGAAATCCAAACAACACTTTAATAGTAACAATAGTAATACTAATTTACTAGTTGGCTAGTAAAATCACAAAGTGCTTTACAAAGTGCAACCAAAATAATAAAACAATATAAAATCAAAAATGTAAAAAAATTAAAAGCCCCAAATAAAATCCAGTCAACTAAAAGCTTGTTTAAATAACAGTGTCTTGAGTTGCCTTTAAAAAAAAAAAGAATCGACAGAGTCGGCCACATGGAGGAACATGGGCTCCAAAAAATCTGTATCTTTTAACACAGAACATTGGCACAACGTACCCAACCTTCTAACCACCCTGCACCTCCCCCGAATACCACTTCCTGCTTAACAAATACAAGGTGATATACAAGGTGATATGGCTGCTTTGCCAGCAGCCATATCACCTTGTAGCCCAAGACTGGTTGCCCACTGAAGCTAAGCAGGGCTGAGCCTGGTTAGTACCTGGATGGGAGACCTTCTGAGAAAACCAGGTTGCTGCTGGAAGAGGTGTTAGTGAGGCCAGCAGGGGGTGCTATCCCTGTGGTCTGTGTGGGTCCTAAAGCCCCAGTGTAGTGACGGGGACACTATACTGTCAAAATAGCACCGTCCTTCGGATGAGACGTTAAACCGAGGTCCTGACTCTCTGTGGTCATTAAAATCCCAGGATGTCTTTCGAAAGAGTAGGGGTGTAACCCCGGCATCCTGGCCAAATCTGCCCATTGGCCTCTGTCCACCATGGCCTCCTAATCATCCCCATATACTGATTGGCTTCTTCACTGTCTCCTCTCCACCAGTAAGCTAGTGTGGTGAGCGTTCTGGCGCAATATGGCTGCCGTCGCATCATCCAAGTGGATGCTGCACATTGGTGGTGGTTGAGGAGATCCCCCCCTCTATGTAAAGCGCTTTGAGTGCCTAGAAAAGCGCTATATAAATGTAATGAATTTACTGTACAGTAAGAAAGACATTTCCCTTCCCCAGAAATGAATATTTCTTAGAATTAATAAACAATCAACGCTGAGTGTTCACGGGACGAACAGGTGGGTTGATTGTAATATTAATTTTACTATTAAGTTAATTATATTAACTGATCCAAATGTTCATAATCAATTATAACCAGTTATTATTGATTATTCATATTTCATAGAGTTAATTCGTTACAGAGGGGAGTAACTCTACTCAATCCTGTATCTACACAGTGCTTTAAAACATTGTGGAGGCTGGGCACTCTAACAAGGGACCCTAGATAAGGGATGATCTAGCAGGGAGGCCTCATGAGAGTCCTTCAACCTTCTAACTAGACTTAAGGGTTAGCTAGGTAAATTATATATTTGACCAGGCTCTTGGCTAGAATCAGGGAGGGTCAAAGGGAGCCTACATCGTGATGATCTTATTTATTCCTTGATAGCGATACTTGTTGGCAGAACTAGACTCAAATATCATACGTGTACTCACAGAAATACTGTGGGCCCATTTTTTCCTACTTTACATAACCAATGGACAGTGTACTCAGCTAGAGCGCTATCCACCCTTTAAACAAGGGGAGTACAATCTAATGCTACCTGACTATTGAGGAGGCCTATAGAAAGGCCTACAACTTCAATTATCAAAAGCGTCAGCCCATGGCATTCTTCGGCTCTAAGGGAGTGTACTAAAACTCGTCCCAATGGGAGGGAGTGCTAAAGTGAGCCCCAGTGGTGCAGGGTGAATAAACTAAAGCTGTGGGTAGCCAGAAAATCACTAAGCCTAAGGGAAATGGAGGCCTCAGGTATGAGGCCAACGACATTTTCACCTTATGACTTGAAAATGTATTTGAGGGGCCTAGATAACCAACCTAAAGACTAGCTGGGAAATTCTAGCAACAATATACAGCTCTGAAAGCGGAGACCTCTGCATTACTGCATTACTGCTCAGATACGCTCAGCTTTCCCCCCGACTGAGGGACTCGGGACAAAAAAGCTTCAAGCAGATCATCTCCAACAAAATCCTAGTACACATGCCTAAGCCAGATATTAAGGCAGCCCTCGTGGGGATGGCACTTTAATATCCTATGTCTGAAGTTCAAAGCTATAGTCTCATAACAACTCTCAGAAGTAAGAGGATGTGATCGGCTTACCTTCTGCGGAAGTCAACAACCATCTCCTTTGTTTTATCTACATTCAGAGATAAGTTGTTGTTGTGGCACCAGCTTAACAGTTGTTCCACCTCCTCTCTGTATCCTGCTTCGTTGTTGCCGCTGATGAGGCCTACTACAGTTGTATCATCTGCAGACTTGGAAGAGGTTGTACCTCTTCTTCACCCTCATCAGCCATCTCCTGCTCTCTTGGGCTAGGTGCCAGCAGAGCACTTGCTGCTGGATCAGAGGATGCAAGAGATAACACATCCTCGTCCAGCAGCTCACCCTCGCGAGCTTCTGATGGGCGTTAAAGAGAAACACCTCTCTTAAACTCATCAGCGAATTCCATCTGGGAACCCCATGATCCGAGTCTCCGCAGTGCCTCAGCAAGAGCGGGACCCGAACCACTGGGCCCAGATTCCTGTACCTCTTCCCTGGAGAAGAGGGCTTTGACGAGAGCAGAGTTTTCATAGAGGAAGACTCTCACATTCTGCACAATCATAGGCTGTCACTGGTCAAATTTGATTGTCGTTATTGGATAGCTTTTCAGACACGGGTTCACATTCCCCATAGCGTCATCGACGCAGTCCGAGTTCCCTTTCAAGAGGGAACTGAAGTGGCAATTGACAGATTAGAAGACTAACTGAGAAACTTAAACATACACAGAACTCAAAATGTGACAGTTCTACACTGCAAAAAATGATTTTCTTACGTCTTGTTTCCAGTCCAAATATTAAAAGAATTCTTAAATCAAGATGCATTTACTAAAGTAGTAAAATGCCATAAGATATGTCTTGTTTTCTAGGGAAATAAATGAAAATTGAGTGAGTTTTTGCTTAAAACAAGCAAAATTATCTGTCCATGGGGTAAGAAAAATAATCTGTTTGAATTAAGATTATTTTTCTTACCACATGGACAGATAATTTAGCTTGTTTTAAGCAAAAACTCCCTTAATTTTGATTAATTCCCCCGGAAAACAAGACATAATATCTTATCTAATTTTACTTATCTAGTAAATGCATCTTGATTTAAGAATTTTTAGATATTTGGACTGGAAACCAGACAAACATACTGGGGTAAGAAAAGTGTACACTGAACCCTATTGAACTTTTTTCTAAGTATGTAGTCTTATTTGCTCATTGTGGATGTGATTTAACGCTAACCATTCAACAAATAATGAATGTTTGAAGAGATCAATCTTGACAGTTGTGACTGTGAGGACCAGATGATTTTCAACATCATTAATGCAAAGGTGGTGTGCTTTGGCTTGAATGTTATGGGTGGATGATAAGTATCAAAGCCAATATCGCTGTAATAACACTAATGATTTAAATACAAAATTATATTCATGGACACATTTTGTGTGCTTTCTAAGCAAAATATTTATGATTAAAGACATTTCACATTTATATTTGTAAGCAGTCATTATGAATAAATAATATGCAAAGTAGATGTCTGTTTTTATTATTTATTGACAATTCAATTCAAAGTAAAAGATTTTAATGATTTAATACAAGAAGAGTATTCCAAAGCATTCCTTAAATGAACATTCCTAACCTAAAAATCACCAGTAGATGAAATGCATTTACTTTTATGCTAAATAAGATAAAGACATTTTAATTGCAAAAACTAAATTGAAAGAAGACCCTTGCTTCATTCCAATCTAAATGCATCACCAATAAAGTTTCTAGAAAATAGGACAGCTGCACGTACTTTTAAATGGCATTACCATTTATTGCTGTAAGCTGCCACGATAAAAAAAGTGGTAATAAAAAAGGGCAATAAATCAACAACACACAGTTTGTGTATCATGCAGTTTTCACCTAAAATGAAATTTGATGAAAGTGAATCATTTTAAAACCACTACAAATACCAACACAATAATGTGAGTAAAGCAATAAGATCTATATAATGTAAAACTAGTGAAAACATTTACTGAAATGTGTTACATACAGTATGTTCATCTGTTAATTCTTCACCTTTTGGGCCTTTTGTTGCTTGATGACCTCAGTTTGACAGTTGCTCTGCAAGTCTCTCCAGCTGTTCGATCTCTCTCGAGACATCTAAAGATACATATCAGAGAGTGATCGAGATTAATTAGTCAACACTTCACATCGCAAAATATTATTTGATTACTTTAAACTCTTGTTTCTGTGGTAAAATAGGATGACATTCTTTCTTACCCATCAATTTGACATTGCTGGTTTTTGACAGTGAGAGTTTCATTGATTTCTTTAGTTCTGATTCAAGAGCATTCTTTATCTGCAGCTTTACACGGAAACAAGAGAAGATTCTGCTTGACTTTAGTCATTTTACAACTATAGGTATATGTTTTTCTTAATAAATATGATATCAGTACCTTTAAATTGTTGAAATTTTTAAGCATTTCAATTTTTGCCTTGTTGAACATGTCATGTTTTATTTCATCGACTGTGGTTATTAGCAGTTCCTGCCTTTTCTTCATGGATCCGATTCCAGTCACAGCTGCAGCTTCTAAAATAAGAAACACGCGTTTTTCTTTCTTATGAGGACACATTAGAACAAGAAAATGTGTTTACAATAAAACTGTTAACACTGCTAATATTGTACCATTTTGCATTGGTGGCTTATGAATATGTTTATTAAAGCTGCAGTCCGTAGCTTTTTTGGGGTTAAAAATTATCCAAAATACATATTTGAGAAAATACATAACCAGCCAGTGTTCAAAACTATCTGCTTGCCTTAGCTCGATTCAAAACGGTAAGCTTGTATTATTGTTTTTAATTCCAGTGGTACTGGTGGATTTCCGCGGGAGATTCGAGCATGTCTTTGCGTCATTACGTCACATCTGTACACAAAGGAGGAGTCTCGGCTAGTAGGCTATATTGCGTGTGAGGATGCTGGAGGTGGAGATTTATAGCCTTTTCTCACAGCACTTGATATAATTAAACTTATCAATTTGATGGCGGATCCAGAAAGGTTCAAACGACAATCACCAGTGACAACAGATTCACCCACTGTAAAATGCAAAAGACTTCGTTCGGAAAAAACGTTACATTACAGAAAAAAAGAGACTACAACCGGACCATGCGAAAACAAGGATACATATCGGAAGGACATTACATGTAGTCACGCAATGCTGACGTTGTTAACATTAACAATTTGAGAACAAAGTATAATTTGCACGGTTTTGCGTGATATGATAACTTATAAGCAATTGTTAGATTTAATCAGCGCGATTTACTGCAATGTCAGAACCAGAACAAAAGTGGATGTTTCTTACTAGTTCAGATGACATTTTCCGGTGAAAATTCTTATGTTGGTCATACTTCCAAAAAGAATAATCTGTGATTCTGAATGACAATATCCACACCGGCGCAGTGACTGACAGCCTCACAGTCTCCTCAACCATTGTGTTCATTCGCGCTGTGCCGTGTCGAGGGTGTTGAAGTACAACTCACGTAAAATTGATAATTCCGCGAATGACTGCAATTGCAGATTTCGAACAGAGATGGCGACAAAGAGGAAAAACTGCGGACTGCAGCTTTAAATGATTTAGTGAATCAGAGCTCAACATTGAGGATTGCCCGCCAGCACTGGGTCAGTGCTGGAGAGTCTCCATTCTTGAATTTATTGATCAAGTACACGTTTTTATGCCTTACAAACTTAAATATTTGGTTCCCCAAGAAGTGGATCTTTGACGCTGGGTCATGGTCTTGACATTATGGGAACATTATGTCTAAACACAGCAATCTGATTGGTCGAACATTTGAACATGGCGATACACCAAGACCATTAATCAGAAATGTGCATCGTCACCTTCTTTGCCTTCAGAAGCCACATGTTTGTTCAGCATGTATCTGTTCCTGTTTGTGTGTTGAAGTTTAAAAAAAAAAACTATATGAAATATTTTTTTTCTTTAACATTAAAATACAGTGATAATAATAAAATGTATCTCTTTTTTGTGGTGGGGAAAGAGGAAATGTTGATGTGTTCCAACTAGTCACATCGTTTGTTACTGTTTCTCTTTTTTATCATGGCCTTGTGTTTCTAGTCAAGTCTCTAGTAGTGATTGTTTCCAAATGCTCCCTTTTACTGTATATACAATGACCTAGTGATTAGAATAATTGTTTTGCAAGCCAACATAACTATTAATATAAATAGTTAGTGTTTTAATGTAACTTTTAATGCTCGCTTACGTTCATAGCAAGAAGACATTTCCTTCTCAATGGTTGTTTGGATTGAGGAGTAGATGTCCTTCTTTCTATCAACAACGTCTCTTTTGAGCGATGCCTTCAGATTAATTTCCTTTTAAAATAGGGGAAAAACACAGTCAGAAAAGTGTCAAAACACTAAAAAACAAAAAAGAAAATTCAATGTCCCTGCTTACTTCAGTAATGAGGATTGAGGACACTGACTTCAGAGGGAGTAAAGACTAACCCAGGGTCACGTTAAAGGGATAGTTCACTTTGAAATTAATTTTTGGTATGTTTTAGCTTACCTCAAGGGCATCCAAGATGTAGGTGTCTTTGTTTCCGCAGTAGTTTCAATTTTGATATTTTTAGGTCAAACCGTTCTTGTCTGTCAGTCATATAATGCAGGTCTATGGTCACTTCCTCAAAGAGCATGCACAGAGAAGTCCAAATTAAACATGATTTAATGACTCGTAAATGTAAGTACACATTGATGACCTAAGACACGAAACGAGCGGTTTGTGTGAGAAAACTAACAGTATTTATATCGTTTTTACCTCTTGTAAACACAGCCACGTCCAAGTGATCTGAGGGCGCGGGCGCTTCGGTCTGTGCGTTACAAGAGGTAAAAACGATATAAATACTTTTCTCACACAAACCGCTCGTTTCGTGTCTTAGGCCATCAATGTGTACTTACATTTACGAGTCATTAAATCATGTTTAATTTGGACTTCTCTGTGCATGCTCTTTGAGGAAGTGACCATAGACCTGCATTATATGACTGACAGACAAGAACGGTTTGACCTAAAAATATCAAAATTGAAACTACTGCGGAAACAAAGACACCTACATCTTGGATGCCCTTGAGGTAAGCTAAAACATACCAAAAATTAATTTCAAAGTGAACTATCCCTTTAAGACCCCTGAGTGACCACAGGAGGACAAATGAACTCACCTCTGTTTTGATGAAGTTCTGAATGTGATGTAATATGGGAGATCCAGGAGAAGCAGAGTCACTCTGGATTATACTGAACTTGTCAATCTGTTCTTGCACTGATTTCCCTGTTGTTCCAGTCACACTGAAGCCAAGAGAAAACATAATAGAGTTTCATTTAAAAACAGTTTTCAGAATATTGTTGTAATGATATAACCTAATACAAGAATAACCGGTATAAACCCAATTATATATTCGGTCCTGTCTAACGCTGTGTGAAATCTGGAATTGACAGCTTGTCAGCAGTGAATCATTTACTCAACCGGTTCATTCAAATCGTGAATTAATTAGTTAAGAAACACCGCTGTGTTACACGGTTCTGCTGTAGCTCATTAGCAAAATAGAACAAAAAGAACAATATTCATAATTTTGTGTTTAAAACTCCCTCAATATTAACTTCTTGTTTATTCAACTGTTGTATAAATCAGTTTCACATTTTTGCAATCAGGAAAAAACAATGCTCTTCACTTCTCCAATTATCTGCTGAGTGTCTTCTTAAATGTGCACTGTGTAATTTTTAGCAGTGAGGTTGTGAATGGCAACCAACAGAAGTTACGGTGGCCGACAGGAAAAGATGTCATCGTCTGAGACAGTAGAGAGTAGCCAGTTAAGCAATGAGGTTTCTTTGCAAATATAAATTAAGAAATTAGGACTTAATTATTCAGTAAAACTATATATTATTGCAAATATTATTGTTACTTGTTCATCGTGTCAGTGTTTTACTCGCTGACTTTAGCTTGCTTCTTTGCACGAAGAACAACGGCCATTGTTGTTAGCCACGCAAAATGGCTATTTCAATGTAAGGGGAACCGCGGTGTATCTAGATAGAAATGGCTCATTCTATGGTAATAAAAACATAACGGTTCATTATGTAAGGTCTTTATACACCACTGAAAACATAATTATGTATGATATTGCATTTTTGTCAACAGATCCTCCTAAATATTACACAATGCACCTTTAAAAGAGAGCTACCTTAGGTCTGTATTTTAAAGCATTCGTGACTTACAACCATTTAAGTTCTGAATTTTCACATCTATGCTCAAAATGGTTACCGGTTACCAGGTTAAATGGAAAAATAAAATAGAACTTACGGAAAAATCTGATTGAAATATTCATTAATATATTCGTGCAAGTGTTTGGTCAATTGCCTGTTCAGATCTATGATTACATCCCAATTTTTTGACCAATAGCATCCACCGTTCTTGCACAAAGCTTGAAGGATTTTATGGAATCCTCTTTTATCCATATTCTGACAAAAACAAAAATACCAATGTCATTAAAAGGGCAAGAAAATTGTGATTCACTTTGCACATTACAATCACACTTACAGGGGCTATAACTGCTTTTGTGGATGCAACGCATAATTGCACTGATTCATCCACTCCCTTTGAGAGAAACTGCTCCAGATCAGTATAAATGGTGTCAAAACGACTGTCCAATTCATTCAGTGCCTTCTTTAGGTTCTTTTCCATGTAGACTTTGACTTTTGTTTCAACCTGAAACACATTTACACAACAGCAGTGAATTACAGGACAATGTATATTGGAAGCATTCTGAAGACATATACTGAATTGTATATCAGCAATTCAGACCCATACCGTTTTCTGCTCTGTATCCAGCTGGACACTTTGGATCAAGGACAAAACTCCCTTTGCTTCATTGACATAATCTATGGTAAGATCTCTGTTAATGTTCTGGTTAAGAATCCTCAGATAATCCTGTAGCTTTGGGATTTCTACAGAAGGGGGTGATTTTGGTCAGTCCTTTAACTGCAATTTAGTGTTTAGTTCATGTATGGATTTTTTGAACATGAATGAGGTAGTTTGGTAAACAGGATAGTTTACCTGTTTCAGTAGATTCCATATTTAAATTACGGTCGAAGAAGGCATTGGAACTTACAGTGAAGACATTAAGAAAATGATCATCAGTGCTGAATCTTTTCTAAAAAACAAAATTGATTATATATCGTATCATATATATAAATATATTATAATCATATTACCAGAACTTACCTTGACTTCAGAATTTTCAAACTTTTCTTTGACTCTTTTCTTGGCATGTTCATTTCTATGAAGTATACACACTTTTTCCTGATCCTTATAAGAATGATAAAAACAACAATATGTCAATGTAATGTATAATACCAGTGTGAAATGTAATACAATGATTGATTATACAAGCTGTATATCATTACCGAATGTACTCAAACTAGCTGTATATGTAAAACCAACTTTTTACATCAACTCAGCTCAGAGCTGGAACACTGTACTTATTACACTCAAGGATATTTTATGTTATGTTATGTTTTGTGGCCTATGAAATGGCAACTTTAAAATTTGATTATTTTCAGAACTTTCTAAAGGTATGTGTTTGGCTTAATCTGAATATAAAATTCTTTCAATACAAACTTTCAAGGAAAACTTGAAATATATAATAAGAAATATATCCTATACAGTTTAAGATTTTCCAAACCTTGTCTCCTGAGATAGGAAGCCGTGTAGATCTAAAAAGAAATATTAAAAAGACACAAAGTGTTTGTTTTTTTAATCTGATCTTTTTTGTACAAAATAGCTGTGACAAACAGAATCTGTATAAAGGGGTGCTGTTTGTAACATTTTGCTAACTCCCTACAGATTGAATTAGTCCACCATCCAGCCACCATTCTCCAAAACAGGGGTGTCCAAACCCGGTCCTGGTGGATACCGTCTCGGGTTATGACTATAACCCTTGTTCCCTGAGAAGGGAACAAGACACTGCGTCGTTGAAAACGACTCTTTGGGGACGCTCCCTTAGCGTACGCCTCTGAAGTATGAATGAAACTATTCTTGGTGTTGCGTCATGACGTAACATGTGACGGTATAACCGGGTGCCAGGGATAACCCTTCGAGAACCACTGCCAGGTCCCAGGCAGGAACCCTGGACCTGGTTGTCGGTCTCATCCTCCAAGTACCACGGAGAAAACGAATGACCAGCTGGTGCCTCCCCAGGCCCATCACTCAGTGGTGCATGGAAAGCCACAATGGCAGCCACGTACACTTTGAGTGCGGAAGGGGAGAGACCCGCAGAGAAACTCCAGGACTGAAGCCACTGGGCAGTTAACTGGATCTAACTCATGTTCTCTACACCAAGTGGAAAACACATTCCACTTGAGGCCATATAATCTCCTGGTGGACGGAGCCCTGGAGCTGAGTATGGTCTCAACCACTCCAGCTAATATTCCAGCATCTAGGTACTGAGCCCCCTCAGAGGCCAGACCAACAGCTTCCACAGCTCTGGGCGAGGGTGGAATATTGTGCCTTCCACCTGAGACAACAGATCCCTCCTCAGAGGAATCTGCCATGGCGGACCTCTCAGGAGTGATATTATGTCTGAAAACCATACTCGGATCGGCCACATTGGGGCTACCAGAAGTAGACCGATGCCCTCCTGACGGACCCTCTCCAGGACTCCCGGGAGCAGAGCGATCGGGGGAAAAGCGTACAGGCGTAGCACCATGGCATCCAACCCCAGTGGGGCTGCATCAACAGGAGCCTCAGAATCTTCAGACGAAGAATGAGAAGGTGCCGCAGCAGTCTCATTCTCGTCTGCAAGATCCCTTTGCAAACCACACGATCTCAATCGCCTCGCCGCCTCAACGGACGCGGGACCGGAACCGTGGGGAGCGCGAGCCTGGCCGTGTTCATCGAATAAACCTAGGCGGGAGCGCAGCACTCTCATAGGAAGTGCTTCACAATCACCACAAGCAGCTCCCTCAAGAGCTGCCCGCGTGTGCTGCACTCCCAAACAGTTCACACACAGCGGATGTGTGTCCCCACCCGTGATATATCTATAGGGCAGGGGTGCACAAATTTTTTTAACTGCTCACTCGCCATTTTATATATATATAACTCTTTTCACAAACAAACAACAGAGAGCGCTTGCTGAAGAGCGAAAGATAATGTGTGTGTGTGCCGGCGTCACTTTTATGCATCCGGTTATGACGTCACATGTTACGTCATGACGCAACACCAATCAGGATTGGAATAGTTTCATTCATACTTCAGAGGCGCACGCTAAGGGAGCGTCCCCAAAGAGTCGTTTTCAATGACGCAGTGCGAGTTCCCTCGAAAGGGAACTACTTCAGTGACATCTGCAAGTAAAAATTACTGCACCTTTAATGGCAAAGAGATTCTAATTCTAACCTTTTATAGACTGTTGCATCGATATCATCTGTCTTTGTACAGATGAAGTTGATGCTTTTGCATTCTCCTCCTGGTCCCAGTTCTTCAATGCAGTGCTTTAAAATCCCCCAGGGGTCTTTGTCAGTGCTTGCTCGATTAATAGCACTTACAATCCACACAAAAGAGCACTCTCTCAGTTTCTACAAGATTGGAAATAGTGAGTTAGTTAACATGCTTTCAGTAGCATAATAGGTTGTGTGTTTATATGTGTACAGTGTTGAGGGTAATGCATTACATGCATTATGTAATCAGATTACTTTTTTGATGTAATGAGTAAAGTAACTCATTACTTTATAAATTACCAAATTAATATTTGAGCTACTTATTTTAAATTGTAATGCCCATTACTTTTCAGTTTAATTAATTTGCTTAAACTACTGAATTTTCTCTCTTTCTCTTTTCAACTGTTTTAAGGGGTGGTTCCTTTAAGGCCTGGCTGTCAGTAAACAGGCACTATTATGATTGGTAAACGTCTTTGTATAGCATCACTGCCCACTCACTAATACAAGTGAGTAAGTGTTTTGGAAACATTATCCATACAACAATTTAGTGTACAGACAAAGCATTAGGAAATTATTTACTTGCAGTTTGTGATGCAGCTGCTGTCAGATTCAATTACAGTTGGCTGCTTCATCTTTTAACAAAAGTTTCTTTGCAAACTCTCGATTACACTGTGCCTCTCTTACAAAACAAAATGATCCGAACAAACATATAATCCGCTCCAGGACAACGTTAAAATAAACCATCCACTTTTTTCTGACTCTGGGATCCTTCTGAAGTATGCAGAGATTCAAACAAGCTGTTTGAACCAGGCACGTAAAAGCAAGCATTCTTTTCTTCAATAAATTTTATCAATTTGTCCTGTTGTCGACAGATTCAAGTTGGTATGCATGTCAAACTGAATGTTCATCTGTATACCACAGTACCTATGATTATAATGGGTTCTTTTTGCTTTTGGCGCGACATGATGCTCGCATCCGTGTAGGCATGTGTCAGCTGTTAAATGACTGAACTCCCAATGGGCAGGGCCTATATGGTGCAATGATGTATACCATTGGTCGATGTCTTGCTCTGGAGGCAGTCATATGCAAATGTACTTGCATGTGTGACGTCACAGATCCCGCAATATCAAAATGAGCCATTTTTGGAGTTTGATTTTTTAATGCTTTTTTTATAATGAGGAGGACGTTTTAAAGGTGCAGTGTGTGATTTTTAGCGGCATCTAGTGGTGAGGTTGCGAATTGCAACCAACAGAAGTTACGGTGGCCGACAGGAAAAGATGTCATCGTCTGAGACAGCAGAGAGTAGCCAGTTCAGCAATGAGGCATCTTTACAAAGATAAATTAAGTAATTAGGTTTAATTCATTATTCAGTAAAACGATATGTTATTGCGAATATTATTGTTACTTGTTCATAATTATGTCAGTGTTTTATTTGCTGACTTTAGCTAGCTTCTTTGCACGAAGAACAACATAGTAACGAAATGCGGTTGTCCGTTTAGGGCCACTGTGGAAACATGTTGGTGCAAAAGGGCACATTTCAATGTAAGGGGACCCGCGGTGTATGTAGATAGAAATGGCTCATTCTAAGGTAATAAAAACATAACCGTTCATTATGTAAGCAGGCCCGCCGACAGGGGGGGTGGCTCAGAAAAGAAAAGAGAAGAAGAGAAGAAGAAAATAGAGGCCTTCGAGATGTCCTAAACAAATATTTTTAAAAAGGTGGTGACGGTGAAGCTGGAACTAACGTTAGTCAAGTCAACGTAGAGCAAGGTAAGAAACAGCGCAGCCAACGTTTATGAGTGTTGTCAAAGACCCGGTACTTCGGTACCCGGTACCTTTCTCAAACCAGGTACTTGATGCGCGTGCATGCCCGAAGCGCGTGCAGTTGCGTCCTCTTCATAAAAGCGCTGAGACATGGCGACCGGCGGTGCTGCTGATGTGGTGGCTGTAAATCCACTTGTTGATAAGAAAGGAGGAAAGAGACACATATGGAAATATTTTGGATATTAGCTCATAATAGCGACGCGGCGCGCTCGTTTTTACAGGCGCGCCTAAGTTCATTGTTGCATAGCAACGACAGACGCCACGGGAGAGGAGAGGAACAGGAGAGGAAGAGCAAGGGAAAAGGAGAGATCTGGGCGTGGGGGGGCCCATCTAAGATTATCTTGTCCCGGGCCCAGGCAAGACTGTCAGCTGGCCTGTATGTAAGGTCTTTATACACCACTGAAAACATAGTTATGTATATGATATTGCATTTCTATCAACAGATCCTCCTAAATATTACACAATGCACCCGTCCCGCTACCGGGACGCCTAACTTTACTTCACTATATTTCTATTAAATCCTAATCTAAATATGACAAATTATATATCGTTGGAAAGGTCTAAAACTTCTAAATAGATATTCTACCCCTGTTTTGTGTTACAAATTATGTAGGAAGAGTAATTGATGAATTTATGACAAGAGTGCACCTCAAAAAATCTGCATCATAACAGGAGGTCTGACCTTTGTCACAAAAAGTCGATGCACCCACTTTTAATCATTGAAACTTCTGTTTTTATGCTAAAAGTTCATAATAAAACATATAATCTAGTATTTTTCAATAAAAAATTATAATATAATATTATCCTCTAAAAATTATAATATATATATATATATATATATATATATATATATATTATCCTCTAAAATATAATATCTTTTTTATCGCCTTTTTTTATTATATCATATTTTAGTAGTTATCATAAATTAGGTATCATTTGAAAGCTTATAAACTCAGAATTCATCCTGTGAAAACCGTTTTATAATTGAACGTTGCGTTACCATAGAAACGGTACTCTAAATTATTTTATCAGGCTCCTCCCCTTTTGGGCATCATTATATTTCATAATTTATGATCAAAACCTTTTCTAATCTTGACAAAACACATTGTCAGAAAGGTCTGTGTCTCAAGGTTCCAAATTTTGTGACATTTTTGTGAATTGATATTTGGACAGAAATGTATTAATTTGTTAAAGGAGTCATAATGTGCAATTTTCACTTTTCCATGAGAATCAATGTATGTTATGATTGACTAACGATTATACATTGGCCGGGATGCCGATATTCAAAAGTGAAGCGTTTGTTTACCCCAGGGTTCTTAAACTAGCCAACGTGCACGCGCACTCAAATACGAGATTTCAATTTCTCCCCCGACTTGACGTCAAGACGGGGCCGGATATACCATATATGGACACCGCAGAGGAGGCCCGCCCTGCCCCTCTCCCCATCATATTCAGTCAAGAAAGATGCAGAAACGTAGTGCACACGTGCTCTGTGGTTGACTGTCATAATCCACATTCTAATGTTTTTTCTTTACCCAAAACTGACCAAACTATAAGGGACAAGTGGATGAAAATTATTTTTAATGACGCTGTTCCAACAACCATCTCAACTTGCTCAACGGTGTCTGCGCTAAACATTTCACAAAATAATCTTTTACAAATTTGGGGCAATATGGCGAAGTTGGCATCGAAGCTACGTTTGGAAAAAGGTGCCATTCCAACAATCAGGGACTTGCCTGAATTTGAAACGGTAAGACTGTGTTTTTATTACTATATTTTGTGTAACAAACAGCAGCTAACTACTAATGCGGTTAATGTATGTGATGTAAACACGGGGAATGGACTCTACGAATGCTAGCCACATCTTTCCACTTTGTTTTACACTACAGTAACGTTAGCTATTATTTAATATAATCGTATATAATATAACAATGACAACATATCATTGTATTGATTTTTTTTATATAATAGATAAGGATAGATAAATTTAAAAAACAGTCAAGAATTAATAAACATAAAGAAAAACATAACGTTACATGTCTGCAGATGAAAATTATTAAATATCTAAAAAACCACAACGTCAAAAAAGGCAAAAACAACATTATAGCAAACGTTAATCTCTATAACCACTGTAAGCTGAAAATAAAGTAGACTACATCTCCGTTAATGTAATCTACATTAAATTAAAGCTAAACTTATATGGGAGAAAATAGCAAAAAAAACGTTTTAGCTCGTTAGGGACTGTTCGTTTTTTATTTAAGGGGCCACCGGAGGAGATTTGAGATCTGTAGTCAAAAAAGACTTGACCCTCCCTTCGCCAGCAATAATTTTTTCTTTGACCCTCCAAAATGATTGTGAAAAAAGGCATGACCCTCCCCGATAATTTATTAATTACTTTTGTACTGGTTTTGGCAAAGATGTTCAGATAGCCATTCCACGATAAACGACTAAACTCCTGTTTTCTCATCTTGCGGCTGTAACGATAGACCAAACCTACAATTCGGTTCGTATCACGATTTTTGATTTGAAAAAAATTAAAATAATTTTTTTTAAAAATCATGTTTTCGGTGCTGATGCCGTGGTGACGCGTTCATGTAGCCTACGTAAAATGTAAGGGTGGCGCTGCCAATACAGTATCTTAAAGCTGCCACAAAGAACCGGCAAAAGTGATGATTATGAATAATTTCAAGGGGACATTTTAATTGTTTATTAATAAACAAGTCTTTGTCAGTGTGGCTGCAAATATAAAGGTGATGATGCTGACTCGCGATCTTCGCAGTAGTGAACGCGCCAGAGAGAAATGCACATTTACGGATTACAGAAGCAGAGTCTGTAGTCTGTTTTCTTTCGTTTTGAATTATTCTGTTAAAAAGTAGACATGTCAAGCTTTCTATATATTTATCTGTAAAAGTCACTTTCAGAGCGGTCATGTCCGTAACGGAGAACTGTCACGTCAGTAAAAAAAGAATTCCCTCATAAATGCGAACACGAAAAAAAATAAAAAGAATATTTTGTGTTATTAACAGTCTCAAACCAGGACAATTCGATGGTTGTTGTGGTTATGTCTTATTTCGACATATGTGTGCTGCATGCAACAATGAAGATGTGCATTTGTAAATCCAGCTATATTTGCTTCTTATTAGGCCAGGGCTCTAGAGTGCGACCAATTTGGTCGCACATGCGACCAAAATTTGTAAGAGTGCGACAAGAATTTTTCCTAGGTCGCACCAGTGCACCTAACGTTCTCGCATGATCGCATCCGCTGCCTCTCCACAAACGAGTATTTTGTTCTCCTTGCACGCATGGTTGGATCA